GAGGAGGGATGCGCTGGGCAGGGCACGGCCCCCGGCCGGCCCCCAGAGCCTTCCTCGGGCCAGCCCCTCGACTTTGCTCCTTCCCAACCCTGGGACAGGAGCTGTGCCGGGCCAGGTAGCTGGTTCTGCCGCTCCCCTGCAGCAGCTCACTTCGCTGCCACCGTCATCATCATCCTCCTCCTCCCCGCCCGCCGCTTCCTACCTGTCTTCTCCGGCAGGCAAAACCGGCCGAGGCTCCCTTCTCTGCGTAACGATAGGCACCAAGGCACTTTCGTCCGTTAGAGGACGGATGCTACCCAACTCCTTTCTGTGCAAGCCGAATTGGTGACCTAACCAGCTGATACCAGTTACAGATCGCTGTACTAACAACTTATGCTAATCTAATTTAAAAGGCAATAAACAGGTGTTTCTGATAATGAGCCTTCCATATAAACAACTGTAAAGAAAGCAGGCTTGTCAGTCTTTTTATCGTTTGTGGTTGTGCGAAAGAAGCTCACTTCATCAATTTTACCCAGGGACAAAGTCTGTGGAGCAAAGGATATTTTATTTACAGTGTTGGGAGCTTCACAGTGGATTTCTCCTCTGTGGCTCAACTCTAGCATTCCAAAATGGTTTTTTGATGAAAAATAGGAATACTTCCTTCACCTCGTTAGTCCTTGAGACCTTTTTGATTGAAGTATTTTCTCGTATAAGGTACACATCAAATGTTTTCTCATCAATAGAAAAAACAACCAAATAATTTTACGTGTATATGAAGTTTGTAACTTATTTTGTTGTGGAATATGAGATTAAGGGAAATGAACTCACTGATTTTCTAAATGAGATGCCTTTATGTGCTGTGAGATGCTACTGTCATCTCACAGTGCCCTGTGATTTTTATTTTTTGCCAGGGGAATGTTGGTACTATCACAGATAAGGCAGCCATCAACCAGGTGTTGCACTACTGGAACGGATCTGGTTATATGCTGGTTTATGTTTTTCTGGGAGGTACTTTAAACTCACTAGTGTAAACTCATGGGTTTACTGGCAAGATACAAAACTTAATATGCAAAGGATAGACCAGTTCCAGTTTAAAGGTGTCCTGAACACAATCTTAAAAAAAACCCCAAAGTTATGCTGCTTACTGCTTGGACTTAGTTCTGCCTTCTCAATGTATTCAGCACTGAATGATGTTTAAAATAGAAAAGAAAAAAGCCTTCTGTAAAAATGTATATAAGAAAGAAAAGATGCAAAGATACTAAAAAGTATATACAGTCAAGTTTCTTCTTTCATTTAAGATCAGGAAAAAGACACATCTGGACTACAATTTGACATTTTAACTGCATTAAAGTCAGATAGTTTATACGAAGCACACTAAGATAACCATGCTGAAACATTATGGACTAAACATATAGCATTTAATGTTTATACTAAAGATATATTATAAAAAACTTTACAGGTGAGACTCAGGGTTTGTATCTATAAGCAAGACTGAAAACCTAGGACATCAAGCATGTGCTTGCTAGAAGGAATATTGGGAGGCAGAGTACATATCAAGATTCACAACAAAACTTCACATAATATTTTAATGGCTGATTTTCTTGAGTGTTCTCAGAACTGTCACTTGTGCATCAGCCTTCTATTTACATGTCCAGAGAATGGCTCAAATATTTGCAAGTGATGTTTTGGTCTTGTCTGGAAGGTACCAATACATCTAAGGATGAGGAAGGGCTTGATGATTAGGCTTAAAGGGTAAGTGTAAGCCTGGAAAGACATTTGCTTCTTATCCTGCACTGGACTGCAAGTGGCAACTGCTTGGGCCATTGCTTCTGCCACAGGGTGCAGAGCTGCAGTCACAGGCTTCAGAAGCGCTGGTGTCCATCTGAGCATCTCATAGTAGGTTGTTTGATCGCCATTCTGTGCAGGATTGCACCACTGGTAAAATGGGTTATTAAAAGAGTGGAAAAGTCCCTTTTGGCTATTCCTCTGACTGCTAGCAAGCCCTTGTGATTGCACAGTTCTTCCACGTTATTTTTCTCAGCTGGCTGGTTGATACTTGTTGGCTACCTTTTTATTAGAGGAAGGGTGCTAGAAAACGCTTGATCTATTCATGCTCAAGAACTGGACCAGTGCTCTCAGCATGTATCTCAAAGTAACTTCGATTACAAATGTGCATGACCTTTAGGATCTTTACAGAATCTTGAAAAACTGACAAAGTGAGCCAAGAAATTTCAATCACTTGTGTAACATAGGAGAGGTCATTCGTATCTTCCTCTTCTCTGTTTCAGAATGGACACAAGCTTGATTTAAGTAGCATAGTCTCACCACACTACTACTTTGCAAAATCAGTATCAGGTACAGGACAATTTTCTGGACTGCAGTAAAACAAATCCAAACTCTCTGCTGTCAGGTGTCAAGCAAGACTGATTTTAACAAACACTTTGCCAGTAAGTGGTGCATGCATACTTTCTGTCCTTTATAAACCTTATTATCATTTTTTATGGCACGCAGCATGGTGTAAAATACCGTATAGCATCACTGTTAGACTAGTGCATGTTTTGTGGCTGGCTATGGGTAGATAAAGTAAGAAAGGCATGGAAAAAGGCATGGAAGAAGGCATGGAAAAAGGCATAGGAACAGGAGAAGGGAACAGGTTAGATATAAAAGTCAGTAGAACTTCTGTCTTTCACGCAAACTGGTCGAAAATGTCTTGTAGTGCTGACACAAGGCAGGTACAGAGCACAGTGATGGTGATGTGTTAACAAGTGCCTATGCAAACATTACGTCTGAAGAACAGAGAATACTGAGAAAGTTTCCCATGAGATTTGCAAAGATACAAAAAGCCAGACAGGAGAGAGTTGGCTACCCTTAGTGAAAGCAGCTACAAACAAAGCCATTGCATAAATTTATGGGAATAGCTGAGGGCATAAAGGAAGATCAGTGCAAAAACTGAAGAGATAAAATCTGTGAGGTAGGCAGTGGTAAGACATGAGGGAAATCTTAGATGGGATGTGTATTTGAAAACCCAGTTTTGAATTGAGTTGAATAAACCATAGCAGGCACACTGCACTATGCAGGAGTCAGCAATTAGCAAAGAAAGCGAATGCCAAGTCAAGTGTAAGAACAAGCTGCTGCTGTGACTGTCCTCAGAAGTAAGAAAGTATGAGAGATTTGTGACCTACACCTCTCTACATGTTTTATGGGCACTTGCCCAAAATGAAATACCAAAGCAGCTGCTGAAAGGCTGGCATGAGATGTTACTGTAGCCTGTCAGCCACAGGCTAGCTTGCTATATGCCCAGTCATAATTCACTCACACTTAAAGTTCCACTTACAAATGACTTTAAAAGGATTAACTAGCGGTTACTATGAGTTATAAGCACACCTAATAAATGGCAATATGTACATAATTACAAGCCATGGAATGTGTAAGTGATGGTTATAAATTACCTAGCACGGTACTCTATGAATGGTTAATTGCTTTATTAAGTTTCTAGAGTTTAATACATAGTATGACTACAGTTCTGTATATCAGTGACTGGCCTGTTTATAAGGTGCCCTTCTTTGACTTTACTCCTTCTTTGGAGATGGCTGCTGCTATGTTTGGCTTACAATAGCTGTGACAAAACCAAACTCCCTGTTTCTTATGGTTGACACTATGTGCATGGCTGAGGATCAGATTTAACACAAGAGTCTATCATCAGCCTTATTTAGAGGTTAAGGGACAGCATCAACTCTACATGCATGATACCTCCACAATGAACTGTGCCAGAGCAAATGCCAGACTCTAATAATATTTGTGATCTGGCTGGAAATAAGGAAGTCTGCTTGCATTTAAAGTGCGGTTGTCAAGTGGCTGTGAAATGAACTGCAATAAGGACAGGGACCTGCTTTGAGCTGTCAGTTCACTCCAAAATGGTTTGTAACAGTCCAGGCAGTGCTGGATAGACACACGATTTCTGCACAATTTAAGAGAGAAGCATTTTAGCCCAGGAACTAAAGAAATGTTATCATTTTATATGAAAGCTGCTAATTTCAGACAATATCAAATGAATCTTAATTGGATGGATGTCATTTAGCAGGTGGTCATTACTGCTGATATTCCTCTGTGGTTTTGTTTGTTTTCTGATTGGAAATGAAGAAAGATTTCTGTACCTGACTTTTTCCACTTGAAATTCTTGGTGACACGACTTCTCATTGGAGCTGGGAGGCAGTCACTCTGGATTTATTTGAAAACAAATGACCACAAGAACTGAATTCCACTAAAGAGAAAGGATAATAATTGATTACTTCAGAGGAAGTTGTCTTTATTAAGTGAGAAGTGTAAAATGACTCCCAGGAAAGTTGTTTGACCATGTGTGCTACTTCTTTGGAGGTTTAATTGGCCAATACCTACATAGTATGTGAAAATTTCAATGCATGTGAAATTTTCTCCTTAGGAAACCTGCTCCTTAGGAAACAGTCCACAACTTGTGGTTTAGTCCTTTATCCACATGGCTAGCTTAGTGTGAGATATAGATGAAAGACATACTTTTAAGACTGCTTTCTGCGTACCTTGCTCATCTAGGAATGTGGATTCTAGGCTGCTCAGGTTCATCTTCCAGTTTGGTGGTGGCCCCTTCTGCCAGCCTTAAGTCAGGCTTGTACCACTTTAGCTGAAGGAATTTTTCCATCAAGTCAGCTGCCACGTTGAAGACTTGAGCCAGCCAGGCCAAGCCAAAAACAATCCAAATCGCAGTTAGGCTCCTGTACACTGGGATATAGTGCTTGTTGAGGTTTGTGCCTGAAAAATCCAGGAAACTTTGCATATTAATCTTGACAGCTTAGGTCTGCCAAACAGAAGTTCTCATACATATGTCCTCCACACCTTGAAAACATTTATGTTCAACAGGACTGTGTGATCTATGAGCATTATTTTATTTTATTTTCTCCTTTTTTCTTTTTATGTTCCAAATCTAGGTGAAGGTTAGCACAGTTGGCATCAAATCTCTGAAGCTAAGGCTATATAATAAAAATAGCCATATCAAATGTTATTCCGTGATGCACAAGATTGAGTGTTCCTAGCCCCTGACAAAGAAAAAAAAAAATCAACTCAGAAATCCAATTTTGAATCCGTATTAGTCATATCGTTCTCAAGAAACATACAGGGCATCTTGGATGATTTTGAAAGATACAGTTTCCTACCTCAGTGACATTGTGATTGCTTTTTGTAGGATGATATACCTCAGTAACCAGGATTAAAAAATCATCTGGAGAGTATTATAGGGGAAATGCAGCCATTGTAAGTAAGTGGTTATGGGAATCTTAATCCCTAAATTGATATTTCCACAGCATGGACAATCTGTGTAGCTGATACAGGCACAGGACAGCACTGCAGCCATACACTTAGTCTGTCAACCAGATCATCATGAAACTCCACAGAGCCCAGATTCAGCATGAGATGGGGATTTATCTCCTTTTGGGACATGCTTACAACCTCTAGGAGAGGAGAGTTGCTACTTGTGAAGTAACAGACTCTAGTGTTTTTAAAAAATAAACACACTATATAATCTGTTAAGAGCATTTGTTCAAATAAGTGGGTGGAAAAATAGCCCTTCACATGTGTCTATTTCTATGTCTCAACCTAGAGAAGAGGCTCAACATAGAGCCTCTAAAGACTGTGTAATTTCACTGGGTTTATTTTCTTTCACAGATGTTCTGGGGTTGTCAGTAATATTTTCCTCATTTTAAGTACCAGTAACTACATATTTGGTATGATTTCTTAACGGGAATGGTAGGTGTTTGCTGAAACATATCAGTGTTAGGAGACCATGGTTCAAAGGCCTAATACCGACATAGATTTCATTTATATTCCACCTGTCACTCATGGATCACATTTTTACCAGCTTGGACATAGTCACTGTTGAGTGGGTGTCCAGTGGCATACGTGAAATGAATTTGGTGACTCAGCTTAACTGCCAAAAGAAAAATGCCCATGTCATATAATACATTATCATAGAATCATAGAATGGTTTGGGTTGGAAGGGACCTTAAAGATCATCTAGCTCCGATCCCCCTACCATGGACACCTTCCACTAAAGCAGGTTGCCAGATTTATAGTGGGATGGATATCTATGCTCTCTGTATTTAGCTTTATGCTAGAGCAACTAATTTCAACAAAGCTCAATCCAGTTCACCTTCTTTATTACCTACTACATAGTCCCCAAATCCAATGGTGCTCAGGGTGATGAAGGTGAAGTAAAAGCCCTCTCCGTAGCTCCAGCCTTCTACATAACTGAAGACCAACGGTGGGAATATTAGAAAAAGCAAGGTCCCAGTGGTCAGGAAGATGGCCACTGCCAGTGTTTGAACCATCTGAAAAATAAAAGGAGATGGGAGATAAATAACACTGATCATTTGCTTAGTGGAAATTGCCAGGTCTGTTTTTCTCTTGAATCACAAACCTGATCTAGCTGGGAGCAATGTCCAAAAAGGAAGATTAAATCAATGCTTCCATGCACTGCAGGATGACCTTGCTGTTTACCCTGCACATAGATACTGTACCTAATCATGAATCAAAAAAATCTCAAAAATAGGAAGAAAAGGAGGATTTTTTTAAAAGCTTTTGCAATGAGTTTTTAAGTATGCTCAAGTCATATTTTCAAACTTATTACACCAATCACAAGAATGAAATACTCACTTTACAATTTTGGTTGAAGTGGAGATGCTCTTGTAATCAGTTGGCTCCCGTCTTTGAGGAAAATCACCAAGTATTGCATAACTCACAATACAAAGATTGGCAAGGACAAATTAGGGTTCTCTTCACTGTGACTTCTTCGAAAGATTTATAAAGTGGCTTGCAAGAGCTCAGCCAAAAATATGTTTGGATAAAATCTAAATGAAGTCAGTTTGACTGCTTTTATTTTTAACTAAGCAGCATTCAGAGCAGGACTGTTTTGTGTCAGTGCAGGGCAGATCTGTGTCTCTCAGTACAAATGTCTGCCTTCTGGGAGATAAGTTACAGCATATGTGGCTGCAATGGCTAGGTACACAGAAAGGGCAGTGGATGGGTCATGACAGGGGATTTTAGGAGTTTAGGATTGAGAATCAGGAACTCATGGATTTCCAGGGGACACACTCTGGTGAACTTTTGACTAGCGATGTACGGGCTGATGCAAACTCATTGCAATCGTTTAAAAATGTCCTCAAGAGCATTCAAACCAGGGTATGATTTTCTATGCATGTGCCTATTGTGACTGGATGAAAAGCCAGGTTATAGTTGATATCTGTTCTCATTTATTTAATTCCAGAAGTGCGATAGCATTTAATTAGATAATAAAGTTTGCATAAATTTTATACTGAAATGCACAATATTACTTTTTTCTCTGGCTTTTTGATATGAACCTGTAAGACAGGGGACAGTAAGTCAGGAATGAAGAAGAACCAATTGTAATTAATTTCTCAAAGCATGACTAAATTGTGTTTAAAAGGAGATGAACCAGTTTCCTGGAAGAGGCTTTTCAGAGTGAACAAGTAGATACAGCTCCAAAAGTTTGTCTGATCATAGGAATTCTGCCAGAAATGAGGTGTTAATTCAGGAGTGAAAAGAAAAAACTAAAAAATCACATCCGTGAGGAATTTCGGGAAAGGTGCAGCTATACTAGCATGAAAGTCCCTCTGGTGGCAGAGCTGCATGGGAGCAGACAAGTTATGCAGCTAAAGAACTTCTTGCTCATATAATCCACAAAAGGCATTTGACAATACCTTTATAACTTTCCCAGTGTAGGCAACTCAGAGGTTTTACAAATGAAAAGAGAAAAAAAAATTGTGCCTGAGCTCTGAAATGTTTTAACATATTTAACATATTTAATCTCCCTTTTCCCTAACTAAAGGGGTCAATTAATTGAACCTTTACTCAGAAACATGCACTAACTTTGTTATAAATGACCTTCATTTATTTTCTATGTCTCATGCTTACCTTATTCCAATACATCTGGACTAGTTCAATGACTCACTACTAAGTTATAACTAAGGAGTATTTATTTACATTTCAAGAAAAGAAAAGGAAGGAAGTGTTAAATTGCTGTCACAATCAGGGAAGGTAATGCAAGCCATATTAGCAGGCCAATAAAAGTAAGTTGGTTTTGCACAGTGTAGAGCTACATTCTGGATAGATGTTAGCATAGGATAGATAATAAGAACTCGATTCAGCAATGTGTGTATATGCATGTATTTTGCTAAGGTCCCCAAAGGTTAAGGACCTTGCTCAAAATGGAGGTGATGCTTGCTTCACGGTTTTGCTGAGTCAGGTTTTAAACAGGCAAATCTAGAGTCCCTCAGGCAAAATCAAATTGCTTTAAAGTTGGATAAATAGTGTATATCAATTTTCTGATATAGAGGGCCATTTAATTGCTGTGGTTCAAAAAAATATAAGCATGCACAAGGGAAACGCAATCTAGCAACAGCAGTACCTATCGGAGAAGAGAAATTTAATTAATTTTAAAATAGTGGAAATAAAAGAGAGATTGACACTCTACCTGGGCACAGCCTGGCTTTTGCACCCATCTTTCCAGGGTAATCAGGTGAGCATTGAGGCCTTTCCCCAGCTGATTAAGAAAGGCCAGGTTGAGGGGCACTCCGAACAAAGCATAGAACACACAGAAGATCTGCCCTGCCACTGTGCTGGGGGACAGGTTACTGTAACCTGGAAAAAAAAAAGACAACAGCTATGTGAAAAGGCTTTACAGTCAGGCTGCAGGCCATCATGGGAAGTTCCTAGGCTTGAAAGTTCAGCTACGTTAAACTTCAGGAACCTGTGGACCTGTGATTTTCTGTAATTAAATCTGCCTTACAAGTTGCCATAGCTTCTGATGGAGCCCTATGCATTCACTATGACTAACAGAAAATTTATGTGAAAAACATTAGTCAGAGAGAGTATTGTAATTTTCTATAGGTGTCTGATTTTGTGGTGAGTGCAACTGAGTGTTTCAAAGTGACCTCAAGATGTGCTGTGCATGTACAAAATGATACCACATGTACCAAGAAGGCACTCAGCTACCTGTTTTTTGCAGGTGTAATATGCTGGATATATCTGAATAACAGATACAATTGGAAAACAATAGAAAACTGTAACCCACAACAGTCAAGATTGTCTTGCAGGTGTATTCTGTCCACCAGCTGCACATTTCTAGGGTATTTACAGGACAGCTGTAGGAAACCCCAATTTATAAGGAAAGAGAGTACCTCACCTATAGTGGTGATAACAGTTCCTGCAAAAAAGAAGGAGTTGCTGAAGTCCCAGTTACTGGGATTGGTAGAATTTCCTTCTGGGTTGCCCCTTTTTCCCATGCTTCCATGAGGACCTGAGGCAGAAGAGGTCAAAGGAGCAAAGATGAGCAACCCATTAGACCAAATCAAGAAGAATGTCAGAAAAAAAAGAAAGTAAATATTGCTTTCCATCCTGAGCAAACAGAGCAATAAACAGTGTAGATAACAGGGTAGATTTGGTTAAAATGGCCTTGTGCTGACATGGCAAAACTTGGAGACAGAACTGGCCAGAAACTTGAATTCTTGTCACTGGAGAAATGACAAGAAGCATAGGTTCCATAACTAGTTGAAGGCTAAGGGGAAGGGAGTGGAGGGAGACTCCAAAGTGATCAAACTGGGAAAATAAAGTGAAGTTTCACCATAAAAAAAAAAGGCATTTCCTCTTCTTTCATTTCCTAGTCATCTCAATAGTCATCTGTAATTTTTAATTTGGATATGTGTAAATGTATTGTGTCTGTGGGAAGGGGGATGGGGAACATGCTAATTTCTGTTTCCTCCATGTAAGTACTAGTGAGTATGAATTGCTCTTTTTGTCTATGACTTTCCAGTACTTTTCAATGAATATTAGACTTCTAGTCTGAAAGATTAGCTAAGGAATATTCCCCGCTATTCCAGATAGCTCTTACCAGATGACCAAAACTACTGTGTGCAAAAGAAATGCTGCTCTTATTCATGCATCAAATATCTTGTTGGCTGCCTTAATGAAGATTGTGTTCCTTTGCTCTCCCCAAGGATTTCTCTGAAGGAAATTGGTTACCCTCTGCCAGCACCATACAATTGTCAGCTGAGCAGACAATCTAGTGGCTGTGTCTCACCACAGCCTGTATACCATGACTTTTCAGACTGGAACTTCTGACATGATGAACAGGCCTCTAAACCATATAGTTAAAACATACAGAGAGATGATTGCTTTCCTGCATTAGTTTTAGAGATTTAATATGGAAAGACATCTAGTCCCTACTATTGGTAAGAGATGGACAATTTAAGAGATCTTATAAATGACCGGTGAGTCAGAGGGCACCTGCACTTACGTTTACCTTGAGAACTATCAAGTCTAAGTACTTTGAAGCTTGGTGCATTGTAGATGATAATTTGGTGCCCTCAACCGGTTTTGCCTGGAACAGCTTACAAGTGAAAGAATTGTACCTAATTCCAGAGAGATGCAAAAGACCCATGATTCTCTGAGTAGCATGGCAGTGCTGAGGAAGGTTCACTGGAGCCAGAGAGAGGAGAATCTGGACATGTCTGAACCCGCCCTAAGTCTTCTAGGATATTTAACTAAACCTTTCAATCCTATCCAATATCCCAATTTGGTTTAGAATGAGAATCAGGATTTTCTGCTCTACAATCATTATCACAGCGATAAGGGAAAGACAGGTAATATCACCAGCTGCTGAAGCTGAAAACATCAGACATCTTTTTATGCATATAAGTTCTTGAAAACTCTAGTAATTTTCTGGCCAATTCCCAATGTTCCACAAGAAGTATATCACAGTATTAGTTATCAGAATACTGTCCTTGTAGACAGAGGTTCAGACCTTCTCTTCCTTTTCTGATTTGAACTTCACTGTTTGCTTAAATCCATTTACAGAATCTGTCTTTTTATTGATCAAAAGCATACGCCTCTGTGGAAGTCCTCTGACTCAGACAGTGCAAACCTGCAGTCTACTTCCTTAGAGTTTCTATCATGTTTAATGACATGGTAGAAAGAGTTCAAACTGTTTAGGCACCCAGCTCTGCAACTGGATATATTTTGAACACAACAAAAGTGGTAAATCAAGAATTTCTGTCCAGTTCTTGCAATACTAGAATATGTCTAATATAATACCAGGAAAGGTCTAGTATATTATTTCCAGACAGTTTTGAGGAATAGATTAAAGTGTAATTGAAGATGTCATTGATTGACAACCCATATTGAACAAGAGCCCTTTATATCTTATTATAAGTGATAGATAACACAGTTCATGGTGGTTGGCTTTATGTTTTCTTGAGAGGCCTGGAAATGCAGGACCACCTTCAAAGGCAGAAGAAAATTTCTAGTACAAATGAAGGGCAGAATTTGCACAGGTTTGGACTGGAGAACCTTGGAAGGGCAACCTACTTCTTGTAGGTTTGATTCTTGGTTTTTGCCCTCATGCATGATTTCCATGTAATAATTAACAAGGGAGCCAAAAACATTGAGGCTGAAATTATTGCAAAGTAGTAGGAAGGTGCTTCAGTGTATTTGCGTATTTCGGGAGTTCATGGCTGGGAAAAGAAGTGCAATTGATCAAGTGCAAATTGATCAAGTGCAATTGATCAAATGCAAATTGATCAAGATTAAGAGGTAGGTGAATGGGTTTCAGAAAACTCTGCCTTTCTCTTTTACAGTTAGGCCTTTAATGTCATGAACAGCAGATCAATTTATGACATGCTTGGCCACAACAGTATAATTTCTTCTAACCAAAATAATGCTTGAACCAAAATAACAGGAGCGTGTTTCCCTTACCTGCACAAACTGCTCCAGGGCTTGCCTGTCCAAGCATGTGTAGTTCTGCAGGAATTTGAGCTTCTGTAGCTGAAACTGGTCCTGAAAGTGGGTCTCTGCCTGCTTCTCCAGCAGCTGGAACACCATAGCACCCAGGAGGAGGTAAAAGAGATACCCCAGTACCAGCAGTGAAGTCCAGCTGATCTGCTGGTTCTGTATGGTGAGGAGGGGCATGCTGCTGTTCTTCTGCTCCCAGTCCCTGCTCAGTATTAATAGGTTACTGTCCCAGGATGTGTGCTACTGAGGATACCCAAGATTCACACATCCATGTTCTTAGCTATTGCCCTGGGGAATTTTTTACAGAACATAGAGGCCTATACAAAATGAGACTAACAAGCAGATTTTATCCCTCCATGTCTTTTCGCTATCTAAAATAAATGGAGAGCATTTATGGCTTAATAAGAAGGTGAATCATAGTGGTTTTCCCCTATTAAAACAACTTTTATCCAAATATCTCAGTTGCATGAAGCCTGACACAAGCCCACTGAGACTGGTATTGTTCTCCAGGCTGGGAAGCTGAAGTAAAACTGCAGTTGAGTGCCTTACCCAGAGTCACATGAATACAGAGTCACAGAGAGACTCTTAAAGTCTTGACAAGTAAACCCTTACTCTAAACACTAGACTTCTGTACAAGAAAACACTATAAACTCTCTAATTACAGCAGACTCCCGAGAACAAAGAAGACTATGGAGCTGTAGAAATGGAAAAGTCAATAGCTGATGTCTGGACCATACAAACATCGCTGGCACCAGTGAAAGCAGCATGCTGAAGCTCATAAACATCCTGAATTCAGCCTGGTTACAAGAAAGACCTTCTCTTTCTTTCTAACCCTTATAAGATCAGTCCCCTCACCACCCAGCCTCACTCTCCTGAGTTCTTTGTCAGATTACTCCAGCCTTTAGTCCATAGAGTTAGGGAATGAGCCACTCATGCCTACTGCTTTCAGTCTCCCTATTGCTCTTTTAATCCAAATGCATAAGAGGGAAGGAGGGCTTAAGGTTAATTGTTAGCTAAAAAAATGTCAGAGGTTCACTCTGACATGGAAGCTTTAATGATTATCGTGAACTGGAAATAAGCTGAGCTTGCATATTTTTCTGTAGGAAGAGCTTTATGGCAAGTGTCATCTATGCCACACTGCTTCTAAAAGAAAACAAACACACACAGAGAGCAAGAAGGCCATGTGGCTAGGGCTGCAATTTTGTTATTAAACTTTCTTCCTGTTAAAAACTTCTGGATAAAAGATGTCCCTTCTTTGCTTAGTATTCAGATTGTTTTCACCTTATTTTCTGAGAATCTTGCAAACTGAGTCACTAAAACTATCCAAGTGTGCTTACTTCTATACTTTAGGTGCTCTTACTTAAACTGCTTCAATATTGAAAGGGTATCCTATTTGGCTGGCCAAGTGAAATGTTTTCTAATCAACTTTCCGGGAAGGCGTTATCATCTTTACCATGGCTATTATTTGAAAAGCATTAAAAAAAAAAAAAAAAGGCAAACAAAAAATCAATTAATGGGTATTATAATGAACAGCTGGAGAGTACTTCAAAAGACACATGGAATATGTGATGTGTCCTGGGACTGATGTAGAAAGCAGTGTTTTTGCAGGAAGATGCAAAAAATAGAAAAAATCAACTGCATGTGTACAAGAAACTGCAGAGTAAACATGCAGTTAGAGTAGAACCACTTTATAACTGAATGACCTTCCAGATAAAGCACATGTTTAAGAAAGTACTTTTGTAAACATGCACAGTTCCATACAGGTAAGCAGAGTAGTGTGCTCTGAAAATGTGAAAGACAACAGTCTGAAGTAGTTGATGCTGCCATATTTATTCCCATGAAAAAGCTACAGAGTAGGTACCTGTGGATTTCAAGTTGCAGAAATCATCAATATTCTCTTTGCAAGTTGTGGTGGGGTTTTTTTGTTTGTTTGTTTGTGTTTGTTTTTTTTTTTAATGGATTGTTGTTTTTTTCCCCCCTTAGTTTCAGATTGCAACATTGGAATAAAACAAAACAAGATTTTGTGCAGTAGACCAGAAATTATGTCTTGCTATAAGAAAAAAAGCCGGCAAATATATACATTTGTACATAAGTTGAAGATTTAAGATTTCTGAGTGACTTTTGAATATGGAAGAAGAAGCATGGCTTACCACATCAGAAATGAAATTTAGCTTTCAGGTAAAAAGGCACAATATGCAATATGCTGAAATAACAATACTAGCAGATTCCTTTTGATGACGGGATGACAAAACACACTGTCTAATCTAACTTCTCTTGTTGCTCTTTTAATGTTCTTCTGATTAAAAATATGGACAAAACCTGAGTTCACAAACATTACAAATAAAAAGTGCTGAAAGCAAAAACTTCTTGGTAGTAGCTGAACTTGGAAGTTAACTTACTCAGAGGTCCTGCTGTTCCAGTACCCCCTGTCGATGTTAAACTTACGAGTGCACTTGGTCTCAAAGCTAAGGAACGAATTCTCACAAAACATATTTTGAATCCAGGGCTGAACATGACCTCGCTGATTATTCCTTCACTTATATCTTCCTCCTTCAATGATGTTGTAATATTTGATATATGTGTAATATGTGTAAGATCCAGCTTTTCACAAAGAAAATCTGAGCTGTTCCGGAAATGACAGACACAAACTGACATCCTGGTCTACAATCAATACCTGGAGCAAATCAAAGGATTCAGGGTTTTACTCTTGCTTCACTGATTGTTGTTAGAGTTCCTAACGATTCTTAAACATGGATAGATGCTAAATAAAAGACAGACCAAAAATAACTGACATGATTTCCTCACTCTGTATTTCAAAAGCCAGAAAAAATACCATTGTGAATAGTAGGAGTATGATTTACTCAGACACAAATAAGCTGTTTCTAAAATAAGTAATTAAACGGCTGAAAGAAACCTTGGGTGATCCTGTCATCCTCAAACTTCTGATGAAGAGTGAATTTTTGGGCTAGTTTTTCTGGAAGAAAACTGCATGCAAGGATCCAGGGACCCATTCTTCCACAGGTTATGCCTTCCAGCCTGAACAGTTTGTACTGGAAATACTGAATTGTTTTGAATTTGCTTTGCTCCTTATATGACTTCTAAATCCCTGCATTTCAAAGAAGAGTCAAATAAATTATTTTAGAACTGAGTTACATATAAATAACAGTTACATTGCATTTCTTCAGGCATGAGACTATCATCTAACAATATTCTACTTTTTTTTCTCACTCCAAATTTAAACCAAGCATTTTGACTCCCTGACTTACAGTCACATAAGTGAAAACATGAAGCATTTTCAGATAAAAGATATAATTCCAAAATTTCAACAGTGTTATTCTCAGACAGATTCCATTAAAAAAATAGTTTCCTTGAATTCTGCAGTTATTTTATTGGAGGTAGACCTTGTTGTTCCTGCTGTTTATCTGTACAAATGCATTTGGGAAACCCACTGTTGGACCACAAACACAAGTATTTAGTTCACTGTTTGTGTCAAATGAAGCACCTCAGCTGTCCAAAAAAATGAATAGAAGATAATCTTTATAAAAAAATTAGGTGCAGCCCCTGAGATTTCACTCAAGGGAAAAGGAAAACAAAGTCTTAGTCAAAAGTCTTCAATTTTATTGTTGTGGTGTCAAATCAAGGCATGGATAGTAACTATTATAAATATCTAGTTTACATTGCTTGCCTTATTGGTGAGGTTTCAAAGCAAACATTGAAGGAAGTAAAATAGAAAAAAAATATTAGAAAAAGATCATGTAACATTGATTTAAGCAACAATAAAAATGATTCATATGAAATAATCTAAACCCAGAAGTTCGTTTGTTATGTTTTCCATTAAAAATGGACTTTGAAAAGACAAACAAATTCTATATAGAGCTACCAAACATGCTATATGTAACTAGGTATTCTCAGATTTTCATAATGTTGGTGTCCATATTCACCAGCTGGATATTTGGTACAGGGAACATTTACAAGATCTTAACATTCTATTACATTGAAGAGCTCTCAGCTTATACTATTTACATAAACCGCTTGCATCCTACGATTGGTTAAACCAGGTAAAAACAATCAAATCTTTTGCTGGGAATATATTACAATATATACTTACACCGTTATACATTTGTGATCCTCATGACAGTGCTTCAAAGATTCTTTTATTAAAAGTGCAGGAGTGAAAAAGAGAGATTGAATTAGGCATGTCCATCTTCCAAGAAACTCAACATAAGGTTATGTCATTTTCTCCTTGGAGCTCTCTGGAAAGCTGCAGTGGGCAGGAAGTGATGAAAATGGAGACAAATACCCAACCCAAAAGCTGGTGAGCTCAAAGATTTCACTAGTGTGCTTCCAGACCATGCATAGATCCCTGGCAGATTCAGCATAAATGAGAACAGATCCTTTGGCCTTTATTATAAGTGTGGGTCATATCCTAACCCTTCCAGAAGCTATGGTTGTAGGAGGTCAGCAGATTCCTGACTTCTGAAATAAACTACATAGAAGGATTGGAAATACCCTGAAATAAGAGATGAGATGATCCACAGTGTCTGGCATAAATGAATCCCAGAAATATCTGTAGGATACCTAGCACTGTAAAGCTACTTCCCAAAGTAATCTCCACTAAAAAGAGATTTGGATTTATTCTGGTTGGAGAAAATAAATGAAACGTATTTTCCATACAAACATTTACTCAATCAGCAGCTATATCACAACAAATAGACAGAAGTCAGATATGGAAGAGAATCTCTAAACTTAGCAATATTGTTTTATAGGTGACATAGGCAGGTGTCAAGACCTTTATAAATGTGGGCCTTATTTTTTCAGTGTGGTAAATACTTGAGTTATTTCAAATTAATCTAGAAATTACATGAAGAGAGATTATTAAAAGAAGTAACTTTGTTCATGTGTGGCCATTGAAACATTATTGAAGCAATAAACATTTTCATGAAGACATGAAAAGAGAGAAGAAACCCAGTAGTTTTCCAGCACCTGTGAGAAGGCCATCAAGAAGATGGAGCCTGATAGTGTGGCTAAGAGGAAGAAAGACAACAGGCAAAAACCCCAAAAAATTCAGGCTGTATATAAGGGAAACCTTTTTCATGATGAGGACAGTGAAGCATTGGAACAGATTGCTTAGAGAGTTATGTGGTCTCCATCCCCGGAGGTTTTCAAGACCAGACTGA